TTTCCCTGGGGAGAAATGGAATCATGTCTGCACTGTATGTTTGTTTACTCTCACCTCACAAAAAGAGTACAGTATAACTGAGTTCAAGTCAGAGTGAGGGCTTTGCATCAGAGTTCTGTTAAATTTGTGTGAAACTTAAAAGGCAATAGATTTATATCAAGATATTAATGGGTAAAATAATAATGATTATGTTCGAAGTTGGAACGACAGTTGGAATTGGCATAAATGACCTCTTGGTCTCATTGCGGTCATGTTCAATTTACTTTGACTTTAGTGAAGATGGCATTACTGTGAAGTAGTTTTCACAGTTGCTTGTTGCATTATCCTCAGCAGCAGTGAGACTGATGAAGCAACCAGGCTTAGAGTCTCATTAAATATAGTTTTCATTAAGATATAGAATTCTGATAGAATATATAATATTGAACTTAAGATTTGGGGTTTTAAAAATTAACTTTATAAAATTATTTATTCTGTTTTAAACCTTCTGTGTTATTTCACCATCCAGGCATTTTCGGTTTCAATGGTCCAGCTTTATTTACAGGCATATAAAATGAAATTGTAAGATGTTTTTACAAACGTCTTCCTTTTACATTGAGTAGGTTTATTTGTGTGGTTTTTTGTTTTGTATGGATAAAGAGCATTATTTATGCTTTTGTGCAATAGGTTTGAAACTTGCATTTATTAGGGATATGTTTAAATTGTAAATGTAGCATCTACTTACTGCTAAATTTAAAAGGAATGTATGTAGATGGCATTCTTTCACTTGTTCAAATATGTTTTTTATTTTGGGCTGTTACTCGAGGAGCAGGTTTTTTTTTGTTTGATTGTTTGAGGTTTTTTTTGTGTGAAGCTTGGGGTTTAAAAATTGTGCAAGAACTACCTGTCTGCAATATTCTAAAAATAAATGATATGGCAAGAAACCCTAAGTGAATTGTGGAAGTAATCAGCAAGACTTGCAGCCTATCTGAAATTGTTTTGTGCCATTGTCATGTCTGGTATCTGTGTACTCTCTGAGCTGGGAATATTTATTTTCTATTGGTTGTGCAATAGTATACACAACACTATCACCTCTGGGGATATATAGGACCATAAAAAATATCAGACTACAACTGTGATGGTGCTATTTTTTCAATGGGCTATGAGGCTGTGAAAGCTCATCTGGCTCTACTATCTTTATAACAATATAATTAGCCATAGGAGATTGACTGAGTGTTTTTTGTTTGTTTGTTTTTTCAACTGTATCATGAATGTTACCATCCAGCTAGCCTGTTTTACAACATTTTGCATCTTAAATTGAGTTAAATATATTCTAGGAAAAAGCCAACCTATCTGTACGTCAGCAGAGAAATGTTAAGTTTATACAGTACTTAAGAAATGCATTTCATACAGAAGAAAATAGTCTTTGTATTTCCTCAGGGAACCGCTTCAGTTTGAACATTTCACTGGAGATGTTAATCCAACCTCTACTTATTTTCCTCCACCTAAAATTGGTAACAAGATTAAAAAAAAGTCCTAAACAGTAAAATCTGTGCATAAAGTATAACTAAGTGTAGCTGAGAGATCTTGACTTTTGTCTCTTTAAGTAAAAAATTGTAGAGGGATTCAGTCTTCAGTCTTTGCTTTCAGTAGAACTTGCAATCAGGTAAAAACAGTTTCTAGGAACTTGGTATTTGTCACAGGCCAACACTCATGTTTTACCTTGAAGTTCTGTTATGTTTATATACAAATTAAAGCTCCAGTCCTGCTGCTCGATGCATACGAGTGGAAACTTAAGGCTTCTTGGAAATCATTTGAAACCATAATGAGTTGCCCAGAACAAATTGCAGAGCAGGGACTAAATATCCAATTCTGTGAACGCTTAAGTGGGTAACTTTACTTACAACGTGGATAGTACCGCTGAAGGCAGTGGGATAATTCATGTTAACATGTTAGAAATGTTTTTCAGGACAGTGTCTTTTTTTCTTATTTTAGAATGCTGTACTGATGTTCCAATATTTTTTTTTCTTTGAAGCTCAAAAGTATTAGTTTAATACAGTCTTTTATTAAAGTGACTTAACTGGAAAAAAGGAGAATTTAATCATTCTTTCTGCAACAAGAATAATTTAAGGTTAGGGGACAATAAGCCAGTGCAACCACTAAGCCT